AAGAAGCATTCACAATATGCTTTCTAGAGCTTGATAATTTTTAAGAATTCAGAACTTTATCAAAAACCAAAATTTTAATGAACAAATTCAAAAACTAAACAAGTGAATTTGATTATTATTAAATTACATTTGAAGGCAGGGGCATTTCTCCCCAAAAGATAAATTAAACTACATTATATTCATGTGTGATCCATAAGTCAAGAAACAAAAAAGAAAACAGGACAGAGAAAAGGCATAGATTTGACAAATGGGACACTAGTTTAGAATTAAAGATAATTCTAATATTTATCATATTTTTAAGAAATTTTTTTTGTTTTTTAAAGTAAATTGGTCACAATGTTAAAAGTTATAATTAATGAATATTCCCTGAATAAAGTATTATATATCTGCTACACAGTAGTAAGTTAATAACATCCGTATGATAAAAAGAATTATGATAAATTGTCATGATCTGCTCCAGTTAAGTGGATATTTTCACATTCATAATATGAATCCAATGAGCTGGGGAAGGTCTATAGCATACTTAGTGATGAGCTGGGAGAGGGCGGAGCTTCATTCAGAGATTTGGTTGAATTAGATGAACTGATTTTACCATTTTCTTAAACTAAACCTGCTGATTATTTTAGTGGCAGTTCTTGCCAATACATTAGAAAATTGAAGTATTATTCTTTCATGTACTAAAAGAGTAACCAAAACTCATGTCATCTTTGTATAATACATGCCATTGAAGCATCTTTTAAAATCACTATAAGTTAAATAGGAAATATGATCATCGTAGTGTAAAATGTTTATAAATGTATGCATGCACGATGCTCAATTCATCAGTAATGCACAATTGCAAGGACAGAAGACAAGTTTCAGTCAAGAATCATTAAGGCCTGTGAGAAACACACATAGTTGGGTTGTTCATCCTGACTTACTCCTAAACAAGATTTATAGCAAGCTGAAATAAATAGGTAGGCAAACAGAGGAAAAATAAATATATCTCTCCCACACTGGCACGGCATAATCCACAGGAACATCTCCTTATTACTAAATTTTAGAGACACATATTGAGATAAGCTTGGTAGGTAGGAAATTATGGGAAGGTAATGTAATTCTAAAGTCATAAAATATTCCATAATGGAAGGGGCCGCAAGACAATTTTGGCACCAGCAGCATTTGCTTTTATAATATGATCATATGTTAAGGTGATTTTAGAAATCAATTTAAAAATTCATAAGATGATTTTATTCTCCTGTTATGATATAGGTTTATTATACAATCTTTCATCCAGGGATTGTTTCATGGGACTCTACTCCAGGACAAATGTTCTTTCAGGTCACCAGACTCCAAAGATAGAACCAGATCCATCTTCCAATCAGGGCATTTACAGCCCACCTCCACCATCACCCCCAACACAAAGGCAAAATTCACAGAAATTAGACGTGCATGTGCCCAGCAAGCATGATTGTCTGCACCTCACCTCAGGCAAATAACATTTTTAAACAAATAAACTGATCAATTCGTGCCCCTATTAAGAAGTATCAACAGAAAATAGGATCCAATTCTACAAAGACAGCACCACACATACAATTCTGGGGAAATCTCATCTTAAAAGTAGCTCTATATTTTTACCATAAAAAGTAGGTGAACTACCCAAGACTCATTTAAAAATAAATTCACACCATCGATTAAATTACAAGAGAATTTACCAACAGCATACGTCATTAAAGTGACAAACAGTTTTTAATACTAAATTATAACAAAGACAAATATTGCCAATGTTACTTGGGCACCAACCTGGTAGAGGTGGAGGTGCTAACACCATGGTGGGAAGAGGTCTAGATGCTGGTACTGGTCTGGACAGAGACAGAGCTACTTGATTCGCCAGGACATGAGGCTTTTCATGTCCATGAAACAGTCTTGACTCCTCAGGATGTATCCACATTGAATCCAGAGCAAAGGAATTATTAAAAAAGATCTGTCCGAAAACAATGCAAGCATAACATTTAAGGCAAGGCACACGATAAAATGCACGTGATAAAACATATGTAAAAGGCATATGTATACCGTCTTACATTGTTCAAATATTGAGCATTCTGCTACTGTATATTCTATAAATGCGTTGTTGTAGAATGTGAAGAAAAGGTCTCTGATACCAATTATCTCTTAGCTAAAGTTTTCCGGGCTGGTCCCCAAATACTGACCTAGTCACTTCAGCCCAGCAGCCAGTCTATAGAGTGAAGAATCACCCAAATGTAGTCATGATTTCACTTGCTGTAAAATAACGTAACACCTTATCTGGTCTTTAGTTTTTAAGTAAGCAGAATGTTATTAGTAAATTTGAATTTACAAGTCAAACCAAGCCATCAGAAAAATGAAATCTCACAACAGTAACAGCCAAGCAGTACATAATGGTGAAGGCTAGATTTCAATCAATGGTTATAGACTTTACAACTGAAAATTTTTAAAAAGTAGATTATGATTCAGAAATTGGAAATTTTACATTCTTCTAAGGAATCTAAGTATTTTAAGCTAAAACAAAACGCCCCTCTGTTCTGCTGATGCTTTTAACCAGGTCAACCTAATTCCAAAACAATTTCTCTTCCTACATCAATTTATTACAATTAGAAAATGCATGGTGTTTTCTGTTGATATGCTAATACCCAACAACTTTTACTAATTAAAAGGCCACTTATCCAATTAAAACATTTGCACTTGTACCTTGCAATTAGGCATCCTTTTATCTATCCAACTCTTCCCAACAGGAGGTGGCAGAGTGGAAGCGCAGACTTGTGGGAAAATGGGCACCAACTCCACAGCAGTGGAGGGGGACAGTCCTATGGACGGAGAATGGCCACCAAACAGCCACTACAACACACAAAAAAAGGGAGTTCTCATTAGTCCGAGTCAGTCAGCTCTACTTTGTACCAAGAGACACTGGAATGACTGCTTTCAAAAAAGAATTTCAATAGATGTTTTGCAAATGCAAAGGGAACCAAGCAATGAAAAGAGGGGGAGGAAGAAGAAAAGAAGGGGTTGTAAATAGATTTAAAATGTGTTATGTACATGTACCAACACCCGTGTTGAAGGTAATCATATGTACTGCAAACGTGTACTGAAAAAATACTATTTAAAATGGTACAAAAAGAAAAAGGAATTTTACTATATGTGTGTGTGTGTGCACACGTGCGTGTGATTCAGAGAAAAATTCCTTTCCCCAATCAAGAAAACCTATAAATATTTGTAAATAAAAAAGAAATTTATGGAAGTTTTTATGGCTGATTCACCACAAAGCACAACCAATACCGCATCCTTCACTAGAGAAAAAGAACTATGCACAAAACCATGAAGATACAGTAAGAAAATAGGTTTTTGCTCTGAGATGAGAAACCACCATGGAAAAGAGAAATACTGGGTATTCCTTTTAAATCCCTCAGTTCTTCTCATAAACAAGCATAGAGCTATAGTTTATGACACTCCTTTCAATATACCATTTTCATTGATTACCCTTGTCATTTTAAAAACCTTTAACTAGTATTTTCAAAATGCAAATAGCTAAGGAGTTAAGAATCAAAGTTTACCAAGGTTCATCAGTACGAATAGATTCTACAGCAAAGAAAATGTAAGTATCACATAACTAAAGACCTTAGTGCAAAGAATAAAAGGGAAAATCCAGAAAGGGGCAGCCAGTGTAGAAGCCGGTCTCCCCCATTAAAATCACTGCTTCCTCATCAAGGCAGAATGAACAAGATGCATTGTTCAATAAGCACGGAACATTTCAATATCTATTGTTTTAAAATCATAATGCTGGTTTCTTTTCCTGGTCCGTGAAAATACTCTTCTGTTTCTAAATATTGCTACTTAAAAATAGGTAGCGTAAAAATATTGAAATAATTGACAGGAAGTTTTTCTGGATTTTTCTTTTTAAATTTATAAAAGAAAAATGCAGTTTTCTATACAGAAAAAAATGTAGTCCGTTGACATTATATACCTCTAGTGGTAGCACTCTGATATAACAACCCTCCAAAATATAGCAAAAGCTATCAGCATTTATCCAATAAAACACAATCATATATCAAAATACGGTATCCAGTGCCACATATGTGATGTGTCATTAAGTCTAAAAATCAATGTAGGAGTTCAGCGACATCTTTCAGAAAGCTCACAAGACAATATTAGAATGAAATTAATTAAAAGGTGAATTCTAACAATGCTTATTTGAATATGTTAATGAGGTCAATCCTTGGAATGAAATAAATGTTATTCTCTGATTTAAATGCATCTGCATAATTAGATAGGCAGCAATGCGTCTTGCCAAAACCAACCTGCCTTGTTCTGTTGCACCGTTAATCAAAGGTACAGGCACTTTTTCTTTCTGATTCCAGGCTTTAAACGCCAAACTCTTCTAAAGTGGAATAGGCATGAGCGAATTTGGTGGACCCAGGCAGGCCTAGGGCAGGAGGGAAAATCGTCCGTAGCATTTCTCAGTATTAAGGGCAGGGTTTCCCTGCTGGTTTCCATTGGCTCGAATTCTTTTAAGCATTTCTGAGTCTATTTGAAAGGGGGAGAAACCAGATGAGAATCAGAAATAGCTATTGATTCCCAGCCTGCTTTTCAAGTCTGGCAGAGACTGTAAAAGTATTAACTTCGAGACGATGTCAGCCACGGTACGCGGCTGCCACGCTCTGCTTCAGCGTCGGCTACTTGGGCACCGCGCTCTGCACCGCGACCCTGGCTAGGGCAAAAGTTGTGGGCAGGCTGTCCCAATTCTGGCCTGGGGTGCGTGTCTCCAAACCTCTCTATCCAGAGACGGAGAAGAGATACCGCAAAAACTGCCCAGGGGCAAAACGGGACGTCCAAGCGTGAACTTTCTTGCCGATGCAAGGCTTCCAAACTGCGCCCTGATGGGCTGGGGATGAGAGGACACCGGGGGATGAAAGGGCGCTGACACGAGGACCAAAGCCACCCTACGCAGAGCAGCGAGGGCAGCGCCAGGGGACAGGAAGGAGCAGAGGACCAGAGGCAGAGCCGGGGATGGGCACGTTACCTGTCCGTGGAGCAGGGGATAGTGGTGCACGGCGGCGTGGTCTGGCGCAGAGGGCAGAGGCAGGAGTGGTAGCAAGGGCTCGCCCGGGGCTGGCCAGCCGGGCAACCCCGGGAGCAGCGGGGCCGCGGGGGGCTGGGCCGCGGCGAGCAGAACCGGTGGGGGCGCGACCCCGGCGCCCAGCCGGAGCAGCCCGGAGGAGCCAGGCACCATCCAAACCCAGGGCGG